ATGCAGGGAGATGAAATCCCTAAAGACAATGTATCCGAAGGCAAAAAGTCGTTAGAGGTAGCTGCGGCCGTTGGTGTTTTTGGTCGTGGAACGGACTGTCGCTTTGATGGCATCGGTATAGCTGTAGATGAATAAGCCACGATTACTTGGATAGAAATACAAGTCTCACCGTTTAGCTAGGCCTAGCTCTCCAAATTCTGCGAGAGAGATTGCGTGCCAAAGGCGGTAGGCCTGAAGGTGTGGTAACCCATGGTAGGCCTCTTGGCCTTTTGCCATAGGAAGCAGTGATATTGCATACTCGGCGATTTCTGATAATTCAATCGCGCGAAGTTGAGTATGAAATGTCCTGGAAAAGAGTGGGTTGGGAGAACCATATAGAACAGTACGGACATTGGGAGCGCCAATGCCTGAGAAGATGGAGGTTCCTTGTGAGAGGAGATAACTGTTCTCGACGGTCAGTATGTATGAAAAAATCTATGTGCAACTACTTGCCAGGAGTGGGCGGCCTCTGCCCAATTATTAGCCAGCAGGTAATCTCCTAGGGCGGTTGTAGCACTCGAGTCACCAGGTGGTTGATTTGCGATTGTTGAGGCCAGCAACTCCTTCCATCGGTCCCAGGTCTGTTGTGGAATAGACATTGCGTCTGAGATGGTACTGTCCAAGGACCCAGTTGTCATGGATGACAAACGACTATGTGTTTGGACACCAGCAACCCCAAAAGTCGAGGGAGGAACGAGCAGTTTAACTGAAAAGGCTTGTCAGTTCATGGACCTCTGAATTTGATCGAAGTCTTACGTGCAGAGGGTCCGTCCCCTGCAAAGAGGCCATATGCAATTCGAAGACTTTCTCGAGACCCTTGATTTGACTCCAAAGGATTCATACCATTCGAAGTGGTCTGCGAGAGTGCAAGCTCGCTTTTAATGAACTCATGAACAACCTCTTTCCAAGCGTCTTGATCGACGCTACTAGAAATCAGTAATGCATGTGCCCAAAGCTTTTCATCGAGGGCTGATCTATAAGCTTGTCTGCGGTCTCCGCGCATCAAGAATTCTTGAACTTTGTCAAGGGAAGATGATTTGACCTGGTACGTGGCCACCACTGATTCCCCTGAAGAGGACTGGGGACCATTTCCTTGGTATCCATACCCAATAGCTGCCGCTTCAGTAAAAGCACTAGATTCCTTTGGGGGTCCAAGCAATGCTTCACGAACGGCCTCCTCAATTGCGGGGCTTGATACTGTAAGTTAATTGTAAAAGCAAATTTCATTGATCACTTACCTGCCCGAAAGTTTCCCGTCGTTATCGATCCAAATTTTGAGAAGCTTCATCAAGACTACTCTCCCTTCTGCTTTCGCCGGGCTTCCGTCTTGACTCTCGCCAAGGCCTCTGAAGGCGACACCTCCCTCTTCTTCTACTATTCTGGCATCAAGCCACTGTATAATATTTGACTTTTTGGCCTTCGTCAAAGCAGCAGTTGTTTGTAGCACGCTTGTCGCGCCACCAGTGCCTTGATCATTGAATAATGGACCAGGGAATGAGCTGTCGGTAACATCATAGGCGGTAGTAGGGATTACATCTTTAAGCGTTTTGACGCTCAGAGCAGTTGACGGCTTTCCGGGGGCCATTCCATCGAAGGCACCCATGCCTGGATTATTATGGAAGCAAACTACAACACGACCCCCAAAGCCAAAGCTGAAGATGGGCACCCGAACAGAAGCTCGACCGAGAGGATCGTTCGTCCCCAGAAGCGAGGGTGAAGGCGCATATGCATTAGATGAAGCTTGAGGTGTGGGCACATAACCAGCATATTGAGTACGGTCAACTACAGCAACATCTGGAGACATGTTGGTGGTGGGTGCATAAGGATTTGGAGGGGCCACAGTATATGGTTGAGTGTGGGTACTTTCGATACTACCCATGGTATCTGTTCTCCTCAAACTACTGGACGGGTTATATGGATCATAAGAAGAGATAGGTTGACGTATATTAGGTGGCGAATGTGAGAGGTCTATCACCCCAGAAGCCGCCGGAGTCAACATTTTTTGTGGTGAGATATTCACGGGCGGCGTTTTCGGCGCATATGGGTCACGTGGCACACCTGTAGATATAGGTGGCACAAGCGTAGAATCGGATACAAGTGACTCTTTCCTTACTTGGGGTATAGCTTTTGGTGGTGGCTTTGCCATTCCTACAGGCGGTGAAGTAAACGCCCTTGGTGGAGAAGAGACTCTTGTAGGCTGGTATGTTGAGGCTTGGGGAGGCTTGATAGGTGCATAGGGATCAGAAGTGGGTGGTTGCGGCGGTTTACTCGTAACCAAGGTTTCGGCAACTTCATCTGGCTCCGGAGGGGGATAAGGGTCCTCAATGACATTGTTGAGGTACGAATCCTCAGCTCCCATGTAGTTATTTCTGGCAAAGGTCGATGCAATCGTTGGAGTCGGGTCGCCATCGTCCATAGCCATAAGATAGCTAACCTCAGTACGATTGTTTGGCTCCAAGTTCTGGTGCTCCACGACGGGGGGAGGCGGCTTTGCTTGCGGTAGTACTCTTGGTAATGGCTCTGGACTACCAAGGCTGCGTGGGATGGATGGAGAGGTGCTCGATGGTCGGGAACCCGATCCAGCAGCTGGTAGAGCCACACTTGGTGGCCCTGCATGATATCCTTGAGAACGATGAGATGATGCACTCATCGCTCTAGGGGGTGGCGTAGCAGTTACTCCGGTTCTTGGAGCATAGGGCGAAACTACTCGGGGAGGTGGGTTTACAAGACCGGGTTTTGTCTGTGGAGTTGGAGGCTTTGCGCCATATGGAGGCGCATTTAGCGATGGTACCACAGATTTGGTAGGAGGAGATGAAGGATGTTGTCGAGGTAAATAGCCCTGGTTCATTTGCTGGGGCGGGGGAGGGACGTGTGTTGTCTGAGGTGGAACATTCGAATATGTAGAGCGATTCAGTCCATTAGCTGACGGAGTTATGGGAGGTGCAGCAAAACGCGATGGAGTCTTTGCCACCGGACTACTCCTTATTGGAGGGTCATATGCATTGGGTTTCGTGCGGTATTTGGACACATCCACATTAGTAGGTGGTGGTGGTGTAGGGATAGCTTGCATCGGTTGATTGCCATAATTGTTTTGTGGCGATGTGTACTGTTGTGTGGGAGAGAAGGCTTGTTGGGATACGTTGACTCCGAGTGCATAAGGATCGTAATTGGAGGACTGCCGGTGGGCAGTTGCATCTTAAGCATTGTTTAATTAAAGATCAAATATTGATAGGGGAGACTTACGAATGGCTCCTGCCTTTGCATAGGGGTCATATGAGCTGACTTGGGATGCCGGCGCCGTGTACGTGGCAGGCGCGGGAGAAGTTGCATTAGGAGCATAATTATATGGTTGATACTTGCTGGTCTGAGTAGCAGAATATGGGTCGTTGACCACAGGTGGTGAAGTAGGAGGATTGAGAACTTTGGGGTACGCCTTCAACTGGCTGTAGGGGTCATGCGAGACATGGTCAACAGGGTTATGAGTCTGATTCGCATGCTTTATGTTAGCATGTGTCAATTGCGTCTCGTCTGGTTCGGGCTCTGCTTGCAGAGCGGTCGATAAAGTAGACGGTTGGCCAAAAAAGTCGACATTAGGATCATCCTCGTTGGATCCAAAAAGTGAGTCTGCAGTTCTCTGGTCCATTTATTGAGGTTTGCTGGAAAGCGGGTCCAGCGTCCAGGTCGAGGAAGCACTGTTTGGTCAACCAAAATTTGGACACCACTATGGCATCAGTCTCTAACATTTCTCTGAGAAGAGGTAAATTATTTTTTACGACCCTTTATTTTCCTACCTACTATTATAGTTAATCCTTCTGTCAAATCAGCTGCGAGTGTAATGGGCACACGACATCGAGCTATTCGGGTGGAGGGTATTCCCCATTGGATCACTCCAGGAGATGTGAAACGAATGGCGGAGCGTTCTGGAGCATCAGGCATCATAGACGGTGTGTTTGTCGTTCCTCGTCTACTCAAAAGGCGTTCTGACGGTTGTGCCTTTGGGCTCTATTCATATGTAGTTTTCTTGGACAATGTGGATGGAATTCCTTCAGGAAAAGCTTCTATAGAATTCTATTCTGTCTCTGAAGCTCAACGTGCGGCTACTCTCTTGAACAATGCGCAAATTTCTGCAATCCCTGTTCGCGTCGTGGGATTCGAACATGCGCGAAATCCCACATACTCAAAGAAAAAGAGGCTTACCGTTGAGGATATACGAACGACACCTAAAGCGCCCGCGACGACGGTGATTTTTGGACTCCCCAAGGACTTTCTTGTCAAGGATGTCGATAAATTCCTCTACAACTATCGCTTGAATCTCTTTGGTTCCCCAGAGGAGGCACTTGTGCAACTTTATTCGTACGTATAGCTCTTTTTACATTTTAATGATCTTTAACCGGTCCTATAGAAACGGCTACAAGTCTCGTTGGGCTATACATCTATCCTCATTAGCAGATGCTTATCGTCTTGTACGACATATTCACCTGCAACGATTTTCACTTGGAGACAGGGCGGATACTCTGCTGGGCGCCAGAGTATTGTACTAAAGACAGACCTCCAAGGGCATACATATCTTATTGTATATTGGTAAATCCTGTATATCTACAGTGCCTCAGTGACTCCAAAAGGACGTGGAGGTGCTCTGATAAAGTGGTTGGTGCCAAAGACTTCCGGCAGTCATTCACATGGGTCAGTAACCGAGCTATGCCAATTGGGCATAGACGTGCATGATAATGATTGTAATAATGATAGAGTGTATTATAGAGGCAATGTAGATATACAGGATTTACCAATATACAATAAGATATGTATGCCCTTGGAGGTCTGTCTTTAGTACAATACTCTGGCGCCCAGCAGAGTATCCGCCCTGTCTCCAAGTGAAAATCGTTGCAGGTGAATATGTCGTACAAGACGATAAGCATCTGCTAATGAGGATAGATGTATAGCCCAACGAGACTTGTAGCCGTTTCTATAGGACCGGTTAAAGATCATTAAAATGTAAAAAGAGCTATACGTACGAATAAAGTTGCACAAGTGCCTCCTCTGGGGAACCAAAGAGATTCAAGCGATAGTTGTAGAGGAATTTATCGACATCCTTGACAAGAAAGTCCTTGGGGAGTCCAAAAATCACCGTCGTCGCGGGCGCTTTAGGTGTCGTTCGTATATCCTCAACGGTAAGCCTCTTTTTCTTTGAGTATGTGGGATTTCGCGCATGTTCGAATCCCACGACGCGAACAGGGATTGCAGAAATTTGCGCATTGTTCAAGAGAGTAGCCGCACGTTGAGCTTCAGAGACAGAATAGAATTCTATAGAAGCTTTTCCTGAAGGAATTCCATCCACATTGTCCAAGAAAACTACATATGAATAGAGCCCAAAGGCACAACCGTCAGAACGCCTTTTGAGTAGACGAGGAACGACAAACACACCGTCTATGATGCCTGATGCTCCAGAACGCTCCGCCATTCGTTTCACATCTCCTGGAGTGATCCAATGGGGAATACCCTCCACCCGAATAGCTCGATGTCGTGTGCCCATTACACTCGCAGCTGATTTGACAGAAGGATTAACTATAATAGTAGGTAGGAAAATAAAGGGTCGTAAAAAATAATTTACCTCTTCTCAGAGAAATGTTAGAGACTGATGCCATAGTGGTGTCCAAATTTTGGTTGACCAAACAGTGCTTCCTCGACCTGGACGCTGGACCCGCTTTCCAGCAAACCTCAATAAATGGACCAGAGAACTGCAGACTCACTTTTTGGATCCAACGAGGATGATCCTAATGTCGACTTTTTTGGCCAACCGTCTACTTTATCGACCGCTCTGCAAGCAGAGCCCGAACCAGACGAGACGCAATTGACACATGCTAACATAAAGCATGCGAATCAGACTCATAACCCTGTTGACCATGTCTCGCATGACCCCTACAGCCAGTTGAAGGCGTACCCCAAAGTTCTCAATCCTCCTACTTCACCACCTGTGGTCAACGACCCATATTCTGCTACTCAGACCAGCAAGTATCAACCATATAATTATGCTCCTAATGCAACTTCTCCCGCGCCTGCCACGTACACGGCGCCGGCATCCCAAGTCAGCTCATATGACCCCTATGCAAAGGCAGGAGCCATTCGTAAGTCTCCCCTATCAATATTTGATCTTTAATTAAACAATGCTTAAGATGCAACTGCCCACCGGCAGTCCTCCAATTACGATCCTTATGCACTCGGAGTCAACGTATCCCAACAAGCCTTCTCTCCCACACAACAGTACACATCGCCACAAAACAATTATGGCAATCAACCGATGCAAGCTATCCCTACACCACCACCACCTACTAATGTGGATGTGTCCAAATACCGCACGAAACCCAATGCATATGACCCTCCAATAAGGAGTAGTCCGGTGGCAAAGACTCCATCGCGTTTTGCTGCACCTCCCATAACTCCGTCAGCTAATGGACTGAATCGCTCTACATATTCGAATGTTCCACCTCAGACAACACACGTCCCTCCCCCGCCCCAGCAAATGAACCAGGGCTATTTACCTCGACAACATCCTTCATCTCCTCCTACCAAATCTGTGGTACCATCGCTAAATGCGCCTCCATATGGCGCAAAGCCTCCAACTCCACAGACAAAACCCGGTCTTGTAAACCCACCTCCCCGAGTAGTTTCGCCCTATGCTCCAAGAACCGGAGTAACTGCTACGCCACCCCCTAGAGCGATGAGTGCATCATCTCATCGTTCTCAAGGATATCATGCAGGGCCACCAAGTGTGGCTCTACCAGCTGCTGGATCGGGTTCCCGACCATCGAGCACCTCTCCATCCATCCCACGCAGCCTTGGTAGTCCAGAGCCATTACCAAGAGTACTACCGCAAGCAAAGCCGCCTCCCCCCGTCGTGGAGCACCAGAACTTGGAGCCAAACAATCGTACTGAGGTTAGCTATCTTATGGCTATGGACGATGGCGACCCGACTCCAACGATTGCATCGACCTTTGCCAGAAATAACTACATGGGAGCTGAGGATTCGTACCTCAACAATGTCATTGAGGACCCTTATCCCCCTCCGGAGCCAGATGAAGTTGCCGAAACCTTGGTTACGAGTAAACCGCCGCAACCACCCACTTCTGATCCCTATGCACCTATCAAGCCTCCCCAAGCCTCAACATACCAGCCTACAAGAGTCTCTTCTCCACCAAGGGCGTTTACTTCACCGCCTGTAGGAATGGCAAAGCCACCACCAAAAGCTATACCCCAAGTAAGGAAAGAGTCACTTGTATCCGATTCTACGCTTGTGCCACCTATATCTACAGGTGTGCCACGTGACCCATATGCGCCGAAAACGCCGCCCGTGAATATCTCACCACAAAAAATGTTGACTCCGGCGGCTTCTGGGGTGATAGACCTCTCACATTCGCCACCTAATATACGTCAACCTATCTCTTCTTATGATCCATATAACCCGTCCAGTAGTTTGAGGAGAACAGATACCATGGGTAGTATCGAAAGTACCCACACTCAACCATATACTGTGGCCCCTCCAAATCCTTATGCACCCACCACCAACATGTCTCCAGATGTTGCTGTAGTTGACCGTACTCAATATGCTGGTTATGTGCCCACACCTCAAGCTTCATCTAATGCATATGCGCCTTCACCCTCGCTTCTGGGGACGAACGATCCTCTCGGTCGAGCTTCTGTTCGGGTGCCCATCTTCAGCTTTGGCTTTGGGGGTCGTGTTGTAGTTTGCTTCCATAATAATCCAGGCATGGGTGCCTTCGATGGAATGGCCCCCGGAAAGCCGTCAACTGCTCTGAGCGTCAAAACGCTTAAAGATGTAATCCCTACTACCGCCTATGATGTTACCGACAGCTCATTCCCTGGTCCATTATTCAATGATCAAGGCACTGGTGGCGCGACAAGCGTGCTACAAACAACTGCTGCTTTGACGAAGGCCAAAAAGTCAAATATTATACAGTGGCTTGATGCCAGAATAGTAGAAGAAGAGGGAGGTGTCGCCTTCAGAGGCCTTGGCGAGAGTCAAGACGGAAGCCCGGCGAAAGCAGAAGGGAGAGTAGTCTTGATGAAGCTTCTCAAAATTTGGATCGATAACGACGGGAAACTTTCGGGCAGGTAAGTGATCAATGAAATTTGCTTTTACAATTAACTTACAGTATCAAGCCCCGCAATTGAGGAGGCCGTTCGTGAAGCATTGCTTGGACCCCCAAAGGAATCTAGTGCTTTTACTGAAGCGGCAGCTATTGGGTATGGATACCAAGGAAATGGTCCCCAGTCCTCTTCAGGGGAATCAGTGGTGGCCACGTACCAGGTCAAATCATCTTCCCTTGACAAAGTTCAAGAATTCTTGATGCGCGGAGACCGCAGACAAGCTTATAGATCAGCCCTCGATGAAAAGCTTTGGGCACATGCATTACTGATTTCTAGTAGCGTCGATCAAGACGCTTGGAAAGAGGTTGTTCATGAGTTCATTAAAAGCGAGCTTGCACTCTCGCAGACCACTTCGAATGGTATGAATCCTTTGGAGTCAAATCAAGGGTCTCGAGAAAGTCTTCGAATTGCATATGGCCTCTTTGCAGGGGACGGACCCTCTGCACGTAAGACTTCGATCAAATTCAGAGGTCCATGAACTGACAAGCCTTTTCAGTTAAACTGCTCGTTCCTCCCTCGACTTTTGGGGTTGCTGGTGTCCAAACACATAGTCGTTTGTCATCCATGACAACTGGGTCCTTGGACAGTACCATCTCAGACGCAATGTCTATTCCACAACAGACCTGGGACCGATGGAAGGAGTTGCTGGCCTCAACAATCGCAAATCAACCACCTGGTGACTCGAGTGCTACAACCGCCCTAGGAGATTACCTGCTGGCTAATAATTGGGCAGAGGCCGCCCACTCCTGGCAAGTAGTTGCACATAGATTTTTTCATACATACTGACCGTCGAGAACAGTTATCTCCTCTCACAAGGAACCTCCATCTTCTCAGGCATTGGCGCTCCCAATGTCCGTACTGTTCTATATGGTTCTCCCAACCCACTCTTTTCCAGGACATTTCATACTCAACTTCGCGCGATTGAATTATCAGAAATCGCCGAGTATGCAATATCACTGCTTCCTATGGCAAAAGGCCAAGAGGCCTACCATGGGTTACCACACCTTCAGGCCTACCGCCTTTGGCACGCAATCTCTCTCGCAGAATTTGGAGAGCTAGGCCTAGCTAAACGGTGAGACTTGTATTTCTATCCAAGTAATCGTGGCTTATTCATCTACAGCTATACCGATGCCATCAAAGCGACAGTCCGTTCCACGACCAAAAACACCAACGGCCGCAGCTACCTCTAACGACTTTTTGCCTTCGGATACATTGTCTTTAGGGATTTCATCTCCCTGCAT